ACCCCCAGCAAGTGGGATCTCCCACCGCGAGCGCAGGGATCTGGCCTCCCTGTCGCCTGCTGCACCCAAGCCTGAAGCCCCGGGCTCCCCTCAAATCTCAAAACCTCGGGCTCCTGCTCCGCCCAGGCTGCGGCCCCATCTCTCCATCAATCCCAACCGATTCCTGCGCACAGACGCCCCACTAGCGTTCCAATTACTGGATTCCCGCCCAGCCCTGGCCTCGGCAGCTCCCCTCACATCATACCCCGGCCCATCACTCGGACCCCGTCCTCGGGCCCACCTCCTCCCCCACGGCAGAGCCCGAAGCCCTCGCTCCTGCCCCCAGCCCCACTCGCTCTCCCCTGACCTTTCCCTCAAGGTGACGCTGCTGCCCCTGCCCCCAAGCCCGTGCCTCTGCCTGGTGGCGGACTCAGACAAGGTCTTCTCCCCCAGGCCAGGCCAGGCCAGAGGAGTAGGCAGTGCCACTGTCCTGGTACCTGCCTCAGCCCAGGCTATCCCCCGCAGGGTGCCGTCGGCAGAGCCCGGAGGCCTGGGTTCAAGTCACCTTCCATCCCTGATTAGCCGTTGCTCTTAAGCAAAGCGTTTTCCCTCTGAGGGCCCTCAGTTTTACTTTCTGTGAAAAGGGGTAATAATTGAGGCCCTGCCTACCTCACCGGGCTGTTTTTCTAGTGGGTATGAACGTGCACGGTAGCCTGAGAAACCTATACAATGTACTAGTGAAGGCTGCTGTCTCATGAGTATTTACCATGGGCCAGGTACTTACTATACTCACAACACACCCATGAAGTACGTCTCTTTGTCCACGGATCAAGAGAATGGGGCTCAGAGAGGTTAGGTAACTTGCCCACAGTCACACAGCTAGGAAGTTGCAGACCAGGATTTGGGAGCTGGTGCCAGATTCTAAGCTTGTTGGACTCTCTTCACTCCTCTCATAAGTGAAGGACAGTGATGTATAATAATTATTATAATTGGCCCTCATGCCACCTGTGTTGCCCAGGGCTTGGTGAAAAGAGCCTCTGCCCTTCTTAGTTCCAAACCCTTGCTTGGTGCCCCCACTCCAATTTCACCTCTGCAGTCCCTCTTCCTAAGGCTGTTGGATAGGACAGAAGCTTCCTGAGTTTAGTTGTGTAGTTAACACCAATAACCAGGGACAACTCTTAGCCCCCCACTCCGACTCGCCTTCCCTGCCCCTCATGTTGGATAAGGATAAAGAGAACCAAGGGGAAGTCCTGAGTGTACAACTCACCACTCACACCCTGTGTGTTCTCTCCCTTCTCTCCTTCCCCATAAAGGGAAGCCCCTGGGGCGCTCGGTGGCCATCCAGCTCCCAGGAAAGCTGTTCACTGACTTTGAGGCCTGGGACCCCCACAGCCCCCAGGGCAGGCGCCCTGAAACCCAGGGCCCTAAATACTGCCACTCTTCCTTCGATGCCATCACTGTAGGTAAGATGGTCCCGCCTGTGCTTTGCTTCTTTCTTCCCTTCTTCCCCACATCTCCCGGGGGCTCCAGAGCTGGACTGTAAAGTAGGAGGATGGATTATAAAATGCAGAAATCCAAGCCACAAACATGCCACAAGGTAGCAAGCCCACACCGAGCAAAACACTGCTTCCTCCTGCCTGCTTTCGCCTCTACCCTAGCCGTGCACGCCATGTCCCATGCCTGCCAGGTCAGGACCCAGGGTTCTAGGACAGCACCTTCCCTGGAAAGATGGCGGGAGGCTGACAGTCATTCCTCAACTCTCTCTTGTCTCTGGGCAGACGGGCAACAGCGACTGTACATTTTTAAAGGGAGCTACTTCTGGGAGGTGGCAGCCGACGGCAACGTCTCAGAGCCTCGCCCACTACAGGAGAGGTGGGTCGGGCTGCCCCCCAACATTGAGGCTGCCGCAGTGTCACTGGAGGATGGAGATTTCTACTTCTTCAAAGGTACCAGCCCTGGGGAAGCTGGGAAAATTGAGGCCTAGAGAGGGGATGTGTCCTGCCCAAGCTCAAAAGAGGAAGAGCGGGAAGGACTGTCACACAGTGAGCGAGTCCATGGTGGAGTCTCTACTCCAATTGGAACCTGTGACCCCGGGGAAGACTCTACCAGAAGACACCGTTCAATGACGAAGTGGAGAGCGGCAGGTGTCAAAGTTGTCCCTGGGAGGGTTTCAGAGAAGAGTCTAGGGGGATCAGAGGACTGCTCTTCAGCTCTGCAATTCAGCAGAAAGAGCCGGATCTTCCTTGGGTTCCCGGCTGTGTGAGATGGGGCATGTCACTTAACTTCCGGAGAGAGCATTTCTTGAATGGGAAAAATAACCGCTCAGGTTTGTTAGGGAAGGAGGATTCAAAGAGAATAATGACTGAAGAGTGGGCAGTATATTACTAGATACATGGCAATGCTTCAGGACGTTTGTTCATTCATTCAACCCACATTGAGTGCCTTCTATGCACTAGACACGGTAGGTCGTGTTGGGGACACAGCAGTGAACAAAACAAAAATCCCTGTCCTCATGGAATTAGCAGTAGTCATGGTAATGAAGAAGGCTCACCCAGGGAGAGGGCCCTGCCTGTCCCCAGCCCGGGATAAGCTCTTTTAGCACAATCTGCCCTCTGTTGACACTTGCCGGGAGTCTAGACCATACCAGTCCCTCCCCTGTGACCTCTCCGCTGTTTATAATTAGTACTATAATCCATTTTGACAGTCATGAACACAAACAACCGTGGGCTCCAACTGGAGGAGGAGGAGGCATGGGGGGACAGGGGTGGGGTGGAGGGCCAGTGGGTGAGCGCCTCTGGCTCACCCTGGCTCTCCCAATGCCCCACAGGGAGCCGATGCTGGAGGTTCCGCGGCCCCAAGCCAGTGTGGGGTTTCCCACAGCTGTGCCGGGCAGGGGGCCTGCCCCGCCATCCCGACGCTGCCCTCTTCTTCCCTCCTCTGCGCCGCCTCATCCTCTTCAAGGGTCCCCGCTACTACGTGCTGGCCCGAGGGGGACTGCAAGTGGAGCCCTACTACCCTCGCAGTCTGCAGGACTGGGGTGGTGTCCCTGAGGAGGTCAGCGGTGCCCTGCCAAGGCCTGATGGCTCCATCGTCTTCTTCAGAGATGACCGCTACTGGCACCTGGACCAGACCAAACTGCGGGTGACCACCTCAGGCCGCTGGGCCACTGAGCTGCCCTGGATGGGCTGCTGGCATGCCAACTCAGGGGGTGCCCTGTTCTGAAGGCACCTCCCCACCTGATGAACTGTTGGTGCCCTCAGAGCTAACGCGTTTCCCCTGCCCCAGGGGCAGAACCTGTCTCGGAAGCCTCTGAGCCTCCCTGCAGAAGACCAGGCAGCAAAGCCTCCACCAGGAACTTCATCTGCCTTTGTCCCACCACATAGAGGTGGGGGCGGGATCCATTCCAGGAGAAGTGAAAAAGGGCCCTGGACCCCTTGGCCCTTTCCTCCAAGACCCTCTTTGCTCCCCAAGCCTTGGGGATGTTGCTTCTTCTGCTAAAGGTGTGGTGTATTCAAGAGGCAACAGCACAGCCCTGGATCCACCCAGAGGGATGCAAAACTCAACAGAGAGGTTGGGGACTATTTTGCAAGACTGTCTCCTTCTATTCAGGGCCTCCTGACTCAGTTCTTGGAAACTCGTGTCGTATTTAATGAGGAAGGTTGGATGGGGGTGAGGGCTCGGGGTCTCCAACCTCAGAGGCCCTTTGTGGGGTCAGGACTCAGAGCAGGAGGGAGACCAATGCAGGCCTGCTGGGCCCTGGCTTTTTGTCTGGGGCTGGAATAAAGAGGCACCTCCAGCTGGTGGCCTAGTGGCGGGAAGCAGCCTTCCTTGAAACGGTTTTTCCACCCTTTCCAGCGAGAGTAGGTGATCTTCCACCCAAGCCAGGGCCAGCCAGCTGGGCATGCGGGGTTGTGATGTAGAGAGGGGAATGCCTCTCCTCAAAAAGCAAAACTTCCTTGCCTCCCCTCCCACCCCCCAGGCCAGATGGAGAACCGCGTGCAGCAGGGGGAGGTCAGGGGGCTTCACTGGAGGTGGGCAATGCTGCCAACGCTGGGGATGCAGCCTCCACAACTGCCGGCTCTGCAGGTTGGGAGGTGGGTCGTCACCACCTTCCTCTGCAGGGAGGCCTGGTGCTCACAATGGCCCCCCCTCCACCAGGCCACACACGCGGCATTCCCAAAGCTGCTGCTGTCTGGCCAAGAATAGCTGGGATTCCTGGAGAAGGAAGCAGCTCCCCAGCCTCCTCCTCTTCTGCTTCAGCCAGTCCCAGCATTTATCTCAGCATCTGGTTCTGCAGTCCCACCCCCACCACACCCCTTCCCGCCACACCTGCCAATGCCTCATCTGCACGCACCGTGACCTCAGCCAGCCAGGGCTTCCCAGGGAGAGGGGAATGGCAAGGGCTCAGGCCTCAGGTCCCCAGGGGCGTTCCTGGGCCCACGCCTTCGTTTTCTTCTCTGTGCAGTGGGGAGAATGGCCTTTGACTGCCCTTGGATGCGAGTGTTCCTGCCGTTCTGGGGAGATGAGGGAGAAGGCCCCCTGCCCACCCTTTTCCCGCTGGCTTGAACCCCAGGAGGGTCCTATTTCATCACCCCCACTTGAAGCCACCATGCCACCACCCCAAGGCACTGGCACTTTGATTAGAGGCTTTATTGAATGATTTTAGGGAAAGGGAGCCAGTTTCTTAGAGGGACGAGGGAACCCCGAGGTCTTTTTCTCTAGGCGATGCCCCTGCCCACCGAGCCAGAAGGACATGAAGTACCCAAGAGATGAAGGTGAGGCTGGGGGTGGGGAGGACGAGTCAGGTGGGCAGCAGGTGCTGGTTCCGCCTGGGGCGGGAGCGCGCAGCGGGCTCTAGGTTACGCTGGGCTCTGCACTGGGGGACGCTAGATGGCAGGTGGGAACCCCGCATCACCGACAGTGGGCCTCGTTGTCTGAGGGGGGCTCTCTGGATGGCGGCTCCGAGAAGGAGCAGTTATGTGGACTGTGCCGGAGAGGGCTCCGCGTCAGGGCGTCTGGGGTCAGGCGAGGGTGGAGGGCACAGGGGCTGAGAGTGGGGGCGCCCAGGAGCCCCCAGCGGCCCCCGCCTTACCCAGATCCAGGTGATCCAGAACGCAGTGCTCCACGTAGGCCGGGTGGCTGTGCAGGTTCCTGCATTTCTTGCAAAAAAGGATCTCGCAGCGCGCACAGCAGCCTTGGCGCGGCGGTCGCCGCCGCGTCTCCAGCACGCACGGCTCCTCCGGGAGGCTCCGCTTCCTGCGGGCGGGGCCCCGAGCGCTCAGTCTCCGGTGCCGTGCTCCTCCCTGCGCCGCCGGCGCCCGGCCCGTCGCGTCCCGGCCGAGGGGCGCGCCTTCACCTGTCGGCCGGCACCCCCAGGCCGCCCAGCAGCGCGAGCGGGCTGAGCCAGCCCCAGAAGCCGCTGTCCGCGCGCCGCAGCAGCGCCACCTGCTGGGTGCTGGACTCCTGGCGCAGCGGGCAGTAGCTCGCGCCCTCCTCCGCCTCCGCGCCCTGCTCCGGGTCCCCCGCCGCGCCCTCCTGCGGCGGCCTCTCCTCGTCCTCGTCCTCGTCCTCGTCCTCGTCGTCCTCCGCCTCCTCCTCGGCTTCCTCCTGCTCCGCCTCCCCGGCCCCGGGCTCCTCCAGGTCCTGCTTCCACAAGGGGGTCTTCACGCCTGCGGGCGGGCAGGAGGTGAGTGTAGTCCTGCTGTCCCCGGCGAAGGGCCGGGTACTCCGACTGTTGCCCACAGCCCGACCGCTCAAAAAGGCAGATGCCTGAAGGACACCAGATCATGTGTGTGTACATCGCCCAGCCCAGGGCTTGGCCATTGGGAAGCAGTCAACAAAAGGTAGAGGAGGATTGCCAACCCGGAGGGAATGATGGGTCGTCACCACCTTCCTTCCAACTGGCTCTAGGGCAGGTACCTGGTCTCGGTGTAGGCTGCCAATAAACATTAATTACATTGATGGTTTTTAATAGGTGGTTGTTAGGGCATTTTATTTTCTGAATGGAATTTCCTTCCTCAAAGTGTGTCTTACCTTAAGGAAGCCCAGCATCACTGGTGGTGGGCTGGACAGGCGGGTGGGTGTGCAGCGCCTCGGTATGATTGGAAAAGATGCCCCTTATGGGCAGCCTAAGTAGAAAAAGGCCCGTTTATGCGCAGACCAATTGGGAAAAGGCTGCCCTTGGGGTGAACCAATTAGGAAAAAGAGCCTCTTCCTCCATCCAGGCTTGACCCCAAGTGCCAGCTGGATTTCAGCCACCACTGTCCCCTCTTGCTGGTGCCTTTGTTCAGGACACAGGCTCCACGACTCCAGGCAGTAGCTCTGGCAGGCAGGAAGTTCCTGGGCTGACATGGAAACCACGCCGGCTTCCTTTGGTAGGTGTCCACCACCCATTCAGCACCCAGCTCCACGTGCCCTGCCGTCTGCCGCACCAGAATGGCTAGATTTGTAATGGGAAGAGGAGGGAGGAGGGCAGGGAGGACGCCGCACGTGGAGTTTGCTCTGGAAACGTCAGTAAAGTTTTCCATTGGTCCCTGTCCATCCTGTTCAAAGAGGTTGAGAGCAAAAGAGAACAATAGCAATTGGTGTCTAGCCCATGTATATTGAGCACCAACCGCGTGCAATCGCCATGCCCAATTCTCTTTATACTTCGTATCCCTTAATCTTCACTGCCCTCTTAGGTGGGTGATGAGGTGGGCAATAGAGGTGCCTCTGAATTTGATCGAGAACATTTGAAACCTTTAAAGAGAAGTTGTTTCAAAGATTCTGCCAGTTCTTGGCATTGCTCAAGGTGGAGAATCAGGATCCATTGCACTTTTATTTAGGAAAACACAATAAGAAGCCTTCTGATTGTGAAAGGCCAGGCCTAGTACACAGCTAGAAAGGGGTTCCCGGGACATTTCAGCAGGAGGCTGGGGAGGAAAAGGGACTTTGAGTGCTGGACTATGGAGTTTGGACTTTGTCCCTCAGCACTGGGGAGCTACTGAACATTCTGATGGAGTGACATGTTCAGAGCTGTGTTTTAGGATGTTCCCTCTGACAAGACAGAGGGAGCCCCACTTAGGAGTCATTACAGTCCAGGACAGAGAAGACAGAGATCTGAGCAGGAGTAGGTGGAGATGAAGGAGAGGGCTGTAGCTACATGGATGGGTAATTGAGAGAAGGCTTGACTTCATGGTGATGGGCTGTTCGTCCAAGTTAAGGTCAAGAGGCCCTGTCCTCCACCCTGCCTCCAGCTCCACTCACCATGCTTATCCATTCTCACCAAGGCTGTGCTGCCCGCTCCCCCTGATCAGGGACTGGGATGTGAGGGGGTCCCCTGAACCCACAGAACTTGGTCTGGTCTCTGGGGCCTCTATTGGATCACAAGGGGTGGGGCTAGAACCTCACCCACCTATAGGGCTCTGCCCAGGAATAACTTCCTTTTCCAGAGCCTCCAGAAGCACTCAAAATCCAGGTGTCCCCTACTTTCCCTCCTGGAAAGGTATTAAAGGGGAGCAGACGGAGACTTTGGCCCTCCAGTAGACTGGGTTCAAATCTCAGCTCTACAGCATAAAGTTATCTGACCTTCGACATGTTATTTCTCTGACCTTCAGTCTCTTCGTCTGTAGGTGAGAGATAGTAGTATAGTACCAGACTTTCCCTAGCCCACAGAAAGCACTCAAAGCTTCGCGTTTAGTTGTATCATTATAGTGTATCCCCGCCTTCTGTCCTATTCCTATCCTTCCTCACCCCATAATCCCCACCCTCGTATTTGCAGCTCATCGCCTTAGCTCCAATGAACAAAAGGGAATGGTGTCCAGTCCAGCAGGAAGCAGGGGTCAGGCGAGAGGCAGGGGATATTGTATATGTGGATATTGTATATGTGTGTGTGTGAGTGGGGGCAGGGGGCAATAAAATCATGGAGCTTCAGGAAAACCACTTCCTTTCCTGGTCCTAGCGTGGGGTATGTTGGCAGAGACAGGAGTGTGCAGATCGGCTCTGGACACAGGCCCAGCTCTGGAAAGCCCGTAGTCTGATAGATGCGTTGCTGACCTCAAGAAGATCCCAGTCCGAGAGGGAAATATGATACGATCCTCCATCCAAGTCTGAGAGTGGAGGGCAGTGGGGTATCTTCCTATGGGCATCTTCCAGTTTCGTGGAGCCAAGTTGGTGGGCCAGAGAACAGAGAGCAGACCCAGCCCTCAGGAATTTCCTAATCACATGGGGGCAACCTGTCAAGAACTGTGAAATGTTACCCTATTCGTAGGCTACCAAGTGAACCTGCTGTCGTTTCATGGGTGCTGCCAGAAAACATGAGGCTCCTGAGTCAGAGACAAAGGACTTCATTACTCGTGGCACAGAAACATCAGCATATTTGTGTCAACCCCCCTTGCCTCAGTGTCCCATGAGTGTGACATGAATGAGTGCCAGTGGATACCTGCATATGCAGTGGTTTGCATTACAAGAGAAACTCTGAGCTTAGGGAACCTGGATCTTTTATAACAGGCAGTAAGCGAACCTGCTCTTTGCTCTGGAAGGAGACACAACCTCTATCTTCCAAGGTTGTTCACTATACAAAAATCCTTGAAAACTCAAAGCCCTGGACAATTGTCTCCCAACAAACCCGTTCTCCTTAAACTTACTGAAAGAGCCACAATGGCTCTTGATTGCAAAATTCAAAAGCTCACACTGGCCAATTTAAAGAGAAAGAATAGTGAGCACTCACAGAATGACCAGAAGACTTAAGAATTGAATAGGAATCAGGGAAGCCTGGTGACTATAAACACAGCCAAGGTCCCATTTTAGGAACAATTCAGTTCAGAGGCCACTGCTAGGGGCCACCTATGGACATTGGCACCCTGAGCAATCTCCTTGAGACACTCCCTAAGATTTAATGCCTCTGGAGGGCACGTCCGAACCAAGGAGCCTGTGCTGGGGCTTTTGGGGAGCATTCCACCAAGTCACCACAGCAGGGTGTCCCCCCGGCCTGGCCATCCATCTCATCCTGCCTCCCCAAGCCCAATCTGCCCAGCAGCCCTTTGCTGCTCATCCTTAGGATGTACATTTCCTCTTCTTAGGGCTATCGTGGGTTTTGTGGGACCTTCGTAAAAAGCTAGATTGTCTTAACAAAGCCATACCAGCATAAAAGCACACTGGAAATTGATCTCACCGAGTAGTAACACGGTCTTCAGTGAAAACATGACAGCAAGCAGATGATCCCACAGGAACATATGCACGCCTCCTGCACTCAGACGCCAGCTTGGGAGACCTCTTGAGAGGGGAAAAACCACACTGATCATAAGCGTAGACTCAGATCTCTAACCAAAAGAGACTGTTTTAAACCAGAAGAGAATGAGCTGTATTTTATTGGCAAGCTCAAGCATTATTTTCTGCCATTCATAGAAATCACACCTAGAGGACAAGATGAGATCAGTTATCAAAAGTAAACCTACAATTTTTTATATTAAACTTTAACTT